CTGGCCGACCGGCGCGTCTGCAAGGGCGTTCCCGAGTTGCATTTCGAGCCCCTTTCACTGTGCATTGTATGCGATTGTTTTTTACTTTACTCTCTCTCTCTCTCTCTTTTTCCTGTTTCTGTTTCTGTTTTTTTTTTAGCATGCAGTTCAGCTGTGTGTTTTGTCAACATGGCAGCCAAGCAAATCCAGTTACGATTCCCAGCTCCAGCTCCAGCTCCAGCTCCTGCACCGACTCCTGCACCAGCTCTAGCTCCAGCTCCTGCATTGTGCGCCTTTTTGTGTGCATTGTTTTTGTTAGCTCTGTGTGGGAGCTGTGCTATGGCAAGACGGGCGCGGCGAGTCGAGTTGCCGTTGCAGTTAATTGAAAATACTAAATTTTCACTGTCTAGACGGCAAATTATATGACAATTGTTAGAGCGCATGTTTGACTTTCATATTAAAATTAATTACTTGGGCTGCTTGCCATAAAAATGGGCACTGGTTAAATATTAGAGATATGCAAATACAAATATATAGCTTAAATATACTATATATAGCTAAAATTAAAGCTATTTTAGTTAATTATTTGTGTGTGCATTAACTGCGCTGGCAGCTTAAATTAGTTTATATATAAAATAGAGTTCATCAAATGAAAACGTGGAATTCTATCCGGCTCGACACGGCTTCTGTTATATAACGCTTCTTTTGGTATGATATATAATTCTGCTCTTCAGCTATGTAAAGCAAGGTCTAAATGAGAATGTTCGAAGCTTGAGGCTAAGCTAATAAAATATTTTTGGCACTAAACCAGCTCCGTGTGTCCGTAGTTGGCAAAGCCCAAAAATGTTGTTTGAGCTCATTTCATAAAAGCGAAGCCTAACTATACGATAGCCAGTTTATCATAAATCTTTCAGTCAGCTGAAAAAAGTCGATTTTTACATAGTTAAAAGTTGGCTGGTTTAGCTAAGAAATGCTCTGAGATGTAAAGTTCGATTTACTTTAAATTTCTCTAGAATGCATATTAACTAAGCCTGAAGCCTCTCTGTGTAGACCTAGATAACGATTTTTGATTTGAGAGAGAGAGAGAGAGACCTAATCACAAGTTGGCTATGATCATAATTAATGCCGTAATTGCAAATGCATTAAAATTAAGGAAATCTCATAAATGCCGAGCTCAGCCGTACAGGAAATTGAACGAAATTTGCACAATAAGCAATTACAAACGGAAATCGTGCGAAAGCAAAACACCTTTGACGATTACCACATACACACACACACGCACACACATACGCACATACACATGCATGCACATCGGGTATTCCTTTGGCGTTTAATAAACAATGATATTGAAAATTTAAGATGCTTAGCCAACGAGTCGTAGGCCAGCTCATATGTCAATTTTGGCATTACAGTCATGCAAGTAATTACACTGACCGCCTCACTAAGTCAGAAATTTTATGCATTCTGTAAATTGCAACAGCAATCTATATATGTGTGTATGTGCGTGTGTGTGTGTGTATGTGTATGTTTACTATTTGACTACTGCAAATTCATTAACTGCAACTCCTTGCTGCTGTCGTTGTTGTGGCCCTTTTGGGCAGCATCTTGAGGATCCAAATTTGCATCTGCTTCAACATTGACTTTACCGATTTTGCCTAACGCATTTTATTACGTGTTTATTATGCTAACAATGCGAGAAAACTTTGTCTATGTGTGCGAGTGCATGTGTGTGTGTGAGTGGTGCAAACAGTGGCGCAGTTCTTCAAGGAATGAAAGTTAAACATAACTAAAATTCATGTAGATAAACACGTGTTAATGAATATGCAAAATAGTCGAGCCCCGAGAAAGATAAACGAGCTGTAGATACACATATATTTGGGTTTTGGCAGATATTGAAGATATGAATTATATATATATAAAAATGAATAGTTACACTACTTGTAAAATGCTAAGTGACAGAGTTTAAAAGCTCCGCAAGTTGAGAAAATTAATTGGTGTTTGAGGTGTGGAATGAAAATATTCCTAAGACTGAATAAGCTGTAAAAAGAAAATAGTTTTCTTTGAACATAAGTCTACTCAAAACTGTCTTCTATTTAAATTTGATTAAATTAATATATCTTTCAATATTTATTATTAAAATATATATACAAATTTAGGCACATTATGAATGATATGATTTGTGATTAAGGTTTGATTT